TCAGCCCTCCCCTGTCCCTCAGCCCTCCCCTGTCCCTCAGCCCTCCCTTGCCCTCTAGCTTCTACCCTGCTATGGGCTGTGCCAACAGTGCAGCAGGAGGAATTTCTGGAAGGAGGCCAAGTTTGGCTTCAGATCATTTCTCTTCAGCACACACTGGCCTCTGAAAACCAGATTCTGTTTGTCATTTGGTTTGCTCTCCCAGCACTGTGTCATTCCGATGGTAATGCTGATGGATTTCAAGCTTGCCTCGCAGAGTAACGCACAAGGTTTTCATAAGCACATTAATCTTAAAAGAAAAACTGTCAGATGCAAACAATACCCATATGACTGATGTTGTAAAGACCCAAACTAACTCTTAACATCCATTCCCCAAGAATATTATCTTACAGGGGCCTTATGTTGCCTTTAACTCCCATTCAACACACCTACCTGCAGTGCGGGGCTTCATAGCGCCTAAAAAGCTTGCTTTCCACACCAGAAAGCCATGGATTGATGGCTTGTCTGCTCACTTGCCAACTTTAAATAATAGACTTGGTCACATGGCTGTGTAAATAAAACCATGATTACAAGAAATAAGTAATTTCATTAGTTTTTGCAAAATGTAATATAAGCGGCCCTTATGAAGACCAAATTGGAAAGTCATTATACTCTAAGACGAGAGACTCTGGTCTCTGCAAAACACTAAAAACTCATTAGCAGATGAGACATGCTGCCCAAAGTCTTTCCCTCGTGGAAATGTTCCTAGCTCACAAGCAGATTTGTGCAAAGCATTTCACAATTTTCTCCCAAAGTTAACTAAATGTGTGGTATGAATTAAATATCTGATATTGCTGTCAACGTCATTTGGAGGAATTCCAGGCCACAATCAAGAACAAGCTAGTAGCTTGTTTTAATTTAATGGTGTTGAAGTGTTCCACTGTAATTAAGCATCTGAAAATTAAACAGAAACAGTCATTAGGTTCAGAGATGTGAAGTCACCAGACCAAAGGGTAGAAACCATTTCAAGGAAGGGCCTCTGAAAACCATTATAGGTTGGTTCTTCAGCACGGCCTTGGGAAACCTCTGAGGTTCAGAAACATCAGAATGTATAGAGACAGATAGATAATTTAGGGGGTTAAGACTGTCACTGAAGGAGCCTGAACATGTTTGCCATGGCCATATGTAGTTAGCAAGTTTCTGGACAAGATTAGGTCCAGAAGCTGTGATCCCAACCCCATTATACTAAATCCTTGGGAGTCATTACTTGCAATGGAGCTGTGCCAAACCAATGGATCGCATAAAAAAAAATAATGGGGTTAGAGACCACCAGCCTTCACTATCGTGTCCTGAACCTGCAGTGTGGTCTATCGGCAGCCGTTCATCATGGGGTTGGCAACCCAAGAAAGCAGTAGTGTCTTCCTATTTCCAACCTAAGATTGGCTAAGCACGTGCCTTTCCTTTCATTGTACTTCCCACCTGTTGCGTATGTGAAAGTTCCTTTGGTTGTTTAGCCAGGCAAGAGAACTGCTAGCCCTTCTGATCATGCCCTGAAGCTTAGGAAAACAATGTGTATAACACTGGTCACTTCCCAGAGTCAAAGAATGCTCCCCAGATAATCATGCATTTCCAGGCTACAAGTAGAGCCTTGCTCTCAGCAGCCAGGGCACATCTTGTCATTCTCTTTGAAATGAAGCCTGCTGACTCCTTGAAGGAAGCTGGGCTTTCTTTGGAACATATGGCTGGCTAGTCAGTGGCCCAGCTGTCATAAGAACCAAGGTCTTCTCATTTCAGCTTCAATGTGTTTTCCAAAACGCTCACCCGACAGTCAGTGAAAAGGAGCACAATGCTCTGTGCTGCCTGCCTGGAGGATTGTGTTTGTCACTGAATCATGCAATAAGTTTTTCTTTATTTACGTGGCCAGGGAACAAAGACAGTCATGACTTTAGAACATTTTCAGTTAAACCCTTTGAAAATCTGATGAAAATGAAAGATGGCCTCTCTAGAAAATATGAGAAGCAGAGATTGGGAATCAATTTTGGGAGAATTTGTGGCTCCATGGCCAATTCATGGGGCCCCTGACTTTCATTTAAGATGCAGCGGAAAGGGAGCTGGGGCATAGGTCAATAGTTCAGTGTGTGCTTGATATACATGGCCTGGACGCAGTCCCCAGCACCAGAAATTTAATGGATGGATTATTGAAAAATTTAAGTTATGTCAGGTCTTTACTCAATAAACTACCCAGAAGAGTGCCTACCAAGCTTGAAAAGAGAATTCTTTACCTTGTTCTCGCCAGCTGCCTCCTGATGGGGACACAAGAGAACACCCCAGGCTACTGCTTGAAGAGGTAAGCGCCACTCTGAGCTAAATATCCTTGTAGAAATCAGGTCCGGTAAACTAAGAGGGTTGCCAAAACTTAGAAGGGGGGCAAAAGTTCCTGGACTATGTATTGCAAGTCTCTGTCCACTGTTTTCATCTCCTGAGCGGCACAGGGAATAGACGCCTACTCCAGAGCCAGATGCCAGGATCAAATCCTGGCTCAGCAGCTTTGAGATACCATTCAAGTGCCATTTCCTTGCCTGAGTTTTGGGGATCTGATGTCAGTCTGCCATCTGAGGGTGTCAAGAATACTCAAGCAAAATCTTATATTTAAATTTGTCACCCAATGCACGATCTAGAGAAGACTCTTGTAATTAAGGCCAAGGCAGAGTTTGTCTGTTTAGGGGCAAGATAGAGCCAGAGTGTGATCTATGACGCCGCGAGGCAGCTGCCACACTTTGTTCTGCAATCAGACCTGAACTTGAGTGTCCTTCATGAATTGTGTCTAGTCTTCATAGGGGCTCAGCACCCAAATTGGCATTTTCCCCATTTGAGTTTGTTTGTGTCCTCAAACATCTGGTTGAATAAAGAGCGTCTATCCAGGAAGCACTCTGTTCTCAGCAGCAACCATGTTCTGTTCTCCCCTTTTCATCTCTGCTAGCTGCCTGTGGGCTTTGAATCTGGAGTGACTGTAGACGTCTAACCTTTCACACATCACTTCCGCCCCTTAGGAGTTGACAATTCAAGTATAAAATTGTACTTGTCTAAGACAGATGTCACTGGAAACCTGAGCATGGTAGCACATACCTCTAAACGCAGAAAGCTGAGAGAAGAGGATCATGTGCTAAAGGCCAGACCGGGCTACTTAGCAAGACTTTTTCTCAAATGACTAAAACAAACAAACAAACAAACAAATAAATAAATGGCTTCTATTTTTATATGAGGAATAAATGTTCCTTCTGGATATTTTTTTAAATTTATAAGTACTTTGTCTTAATTTTGAGTCTTGATTTTTGTAGTGTGTGTGTGTGTGTGTGTGTGTGTGTGTGACAGGTATGTGTGCATACACATGTGTACACCTGTTGTGTAAGTGTGTATGCCTATGTATGTGTGACAGGTATGTGTGCATACACATGTTTACACCTGTTGTGTGAGTGTGTGTGTGTCACAACACATGTATGGAGGTCAAAGAACAGCCTCGGGTGTTGGTCCTCACCTAGACATGTTGGTCCTCGCTAGAGGATGGGTCTGTCTTCTGCTGCCGCTCAGTGCTGCATACACTAGGCTAGCTAGCCCGTGAACTTCTGGGAACTCCTCCTCTGCCTCCCACCTTGCTCTGAGGAGTGTAGTGATTACAGATGTGTGCTGCTGCACCCAACCTCTACATGGAATCCACCTGAGATTCAAACTCAAGGATGCATACTTGTGGCAAATACTCCCCATTGAGCTGTCTTCCCAGTATCGTGTTTTCCTTTTTGATACAGAAAGCTTCTCCACTGATTCTGAAATTCAGATTTCTGCCTTGCTTTTGATTGCTTGAATTGTCAGGGTAACATAATTCAGTTACTTTCTATCTATAATACTAAAACTCTTGGGCGGTTACTCTAGGATGCTGTTATAGAAAAGAGCACTTGTGGGAGCCTTCCTTATTAACTGGGCCCAGGAGACATTTGGGCATGATTGGCCATTTTCTCCACGGGTACTGTTGTCCAGAGTATCAGACATAGGGGTAGAGATGTCTTAGGATAACCAATCCATAATGTGAGGACTCACATCACCTTTATGTGAAAATAGCCGCTGCTCTCCACGGCTAAGGAATACCCATGTGCTGCTATGGGTTGAAGAAGGGGATTAAGAGAACCCAGGGTTAAAGACATGGAAGGACATGGTTATGACCTAGCTGCAGCTTGGCTCTATATCACTGATATTTTTTGAAAATTTTATTTATGGGCTAGAGAGCTAGCTCAGTAGTTAAGAGCACTTGTTGCTCTTACAGAGTACCCGGGTTTGATTCCCAGTGCCCATATGATGGCTGGGAACCACCTGTAGCTCTAATCCCAAAAGACAGACATCGTCTTTGGGCCTTTGTGGGCACCAGGCATGGAGGAGGTACATATACACACATGCAGGCCAAAATACTCACATACATAAGAAAATAAAATAAATCTTTTTTTTCAAAAAAAAAATTTTTTGTATTTGTGTGAATATTTTGCCTGTATGTTTGTCTGTACAGTGCCTACATGCCTGGTACACACAGAGGTCACAAAAGGGAATTAGGTCCCCTGAGACTGGAGCTACAGAAAGCTGTGAACCACCATGTGGGTTCTGGGAATTGAGTCTGGATCCTCTGGAAAGACTGAGCGATCTCTTCAGCCTCTACACCACTGAGTTTTGCCTTCACTCTATAGTCATAGCAGGATCTGCTTGTGGCTTTAGGAATGCCACCGTGAACTTTATAAATTATAAAGATTTATTTTATTTTTATCAGCATACCAATAAGGTTCTACATAAACAAAGTCTATAAGCAGAAAAGTCATAAAGAGATAATGCAGTGGATACTTCTGCAGTTATTTCCAAGATAGCTGTCACACTGAACATTGGAAAGGGGAATACATTATTTGTATGGTAGTTGATTTCCATTGTCAGCTTTCCTGGATTTTGACTCACTGAGGAGACACACCTTTGAGTGTGTCTATGAGAGTGTTTCCCCAGAGAGGCTTAGCTGTAAGGGCAGCACCATCCACGGACAGAGGTTCCGGATTACTAAGAGAAGGAAAAAGGGGAAAGGGGAGCAAATGCAGAGTAGTAGCACCCATCTCTCTGCCTCCTGACTGTGAGGACCAGCCACAGCAGCACCCATCTCTCTGCCTCCTGACTGTGAGGACCAGCCACAGCAGCATTCATCTCTCTGCCTCCCGACTATGAGGACCAACCACAGCAACATCCATCTCTCTGCATCCTGACTGTGAGGACCAACCATAGCAACAGCCATCTCTCTGCATCCTGACTGTGAGGACCAGCCACAGCAGCACCCATCTCTCTGCCTCCTGATTGAGAGTGCAGTCACTTCATGTTCCTGCTACCATGCTTCCTCCTTATGACAGACTGTATCCTTTGAACCACAAGCTCAAATAACTCTTCTTTCCTTAAGTCTCATTCATCAGGTATTTTGTTGCAGCAATGAAAATATAACTAATACAATATATTCTGCATGTCTGCATCTAATGAGAACATTAACAGCCCGGTTCTTTAGAGTAGAGAGACAATTTGGAGAGAGGAATTTTCATTTTTCTCCGGGGGCAGAGAACACTGACAAACAAGTATTTCTAGTGTCCCTCACCCCCGAGATTTGGTGAGAAACCAAGGCTAGAGGGCTGTGTATCATGTTACACGTATAGACTTCACCTCACATTGGAGCTGTGCACTGTAAGTGAACAGGGTTGTGGGTCTATAAATTGCACATGAGCAGGAAGTCACCATTTAGTAAGAGATAGGACAATTGACTCTAACTTGTCCTTTGAGAGTCAACTATGTTGGAAATAAAACAATAAAGGTCTTAGAAATCATGTTAAGTTTCTTACATCCCTCCTCCCACTTCTCTAAGATCCTCCCATCTCTCTTTACTCTTCCAACTTCATGTTCTTTCTCTCTTTTTCTTCTAAACAAAAATAAAAACAAAAAATAAAAATCAAAACAGCAAAAGCTCAATAAGACCAAAAATAACAAAGCAAAACAAGTAAAAATTCCACAAAACAAATAAACAAAACACAACACAACACATGGAGTTCATTTTGTGTTGGCCAACTTCTCCTGTGTGCAGGGGCCTGTCCTGGAACATGGTTTATAGACCCCATGATACTCCATTGAAGGAAACCTATTTTTTCCTTTTCCCAGCAGGTATCAATTACAATGACTTCTTGGTTAGGATGGAACTTTGTGCCTCCTCCCTCTTCTCCATACCTGGGTTATGTCTGGCTTCAACTTGTGCAGGTTCTATGTGCGCTGCCATAGTCTCTGTGTATGGGCATCAGTCATGTTGTGTCTGTAAGATGCTGTTTCTGTGGTGTCTCTCACCACCTCTGGCTCTTGCTGCCTCCTTTTCTGCCCGGGGCCCCTGAGCCTTGAAGGGAGGGCTAAGATGAAGATATTCCATTTAGGGCTGGGTGTTCTAAAGTCTTCATATTGTCCAGTTGTGGTCTCTGTGTTAAGTCCCATCTACTGCAGAAGATGCTTCTCTGCTGTGGGTAAAATAATGCAACAATTTGAGTTCCAGCCTAACATGACCACTGGGTAACCCTGGTAGAGAAACGTTCTGTAGGCATTCAGGTGTCAAGAATGAATGGAGGGGCTGGAGAGATAGCTCAGAGGTTAAGAGCACTGATTGTTCTTCCAGAGATCCTGAGTTCAATTCCCAGCAACCACGTGGTGGCTCACAGCCATCTATAATGAGATCTGGTGCCCTCTTCTGGCATGCAAGCATATATGGAAGGAATGTTGTATACATAATAAATAAATAAATCTTTTTAAAAAAAAAAAGAATGAAAGGAGATGTCCTAGAAGAAAAGGCTGAAGGTGGGGGGAGAACTGGGGAGCCCTGGGTCTTTCCTACTGAGTGTTTTGTTTTCCTGTTTCCCACACAAGAGGGCTTGGATGTTTCAGTTCTGAAGTCTTAGGTACCACTGCTTTCAGGTTCTTGTTTGGGGAAGGAGCATAGCTACCAAGATAGGAAGAAGTGTTTGATAATATTTGAAATGAAAACCAAGAATGGCTGTTGTCACCAGACTACCCTTATCTTATCATATCCAAATGATGACCCAATTTACCTGGTGATGACCTTCAAAACAAGGACCCAAGCTGAGCATCCATGCTGATGTGACTGAGCCCAGGAAGTTCAACCCATTCTGGAACTTCTGCACTCAGAAGGTGCAAGAGACTATTGACTTGGAGGAGCTTCTGATGTCAAAGGCCTGAGTTAAACACATACACATAGACACACAGATACATAAACACACAGGAAGACAGAAGACAGACGACAGACAGACAGACAGACAGACAGACAGACACACACACACACACACACACACACACACACACCCCAGTTGAGTTGTATATCAGTTTCCCCTAGAAGGGAGGAAGAGGCTCATGGGACTCAGAGGTAAACATGTCTGGGGAAAGTAAAAACTTGGGTACATCTCTAAGGGCCCTCCTTGGATTTATAGGAGGCGTAAACAGCTACTAGGGGAGAAGATACTGACCAGGAGAGCTGCAGAAAACACTCTTAAATAGTCAAGCCACCTGCAAGTTGTGCAGCGCTGGAGAGATGAAGATTTCCTGAGTCTTCACTGATGCTGGGCAGGCTTTTTAGTGATGCTGCTGCCTTTTAAAGTCACCCCTGCTCATGCGAGCAACCCCTTACCTATTCTACTCTTAGTAACCCCAAAGAAAACTCACTGGCTCACCAAGTTGGATTTTGGTTCAGTCATTATTTTTGTCTGTCATGGGTCCCCTTTCTGGAGTTGATAGTCTTGTGTGTGTGTGTGTGTGTGTGTGTGTGTGTGTGTGTGTGTTGTGCCTCTCCAGGAACAGTCTGTCACACAACAAATACATCTATGAGATTTCATTAAGGCAGATCCCAAGTGCCTTTTGGGAATATTGCCATGTATTTGACTATGAGATAAAGACTTTAATAGACAAAACCACAATATCATTACATTCATAAATAATGAATAACAACTTCATAAGGTGTTATGTGTTCACATTTCCATAATTTATCCATGTTATTAGTCTGCTTTCCATGACTATAACAAAGTACCAGAGTTGAGTCACTTATGAAGAAAACAATTGACTTAGCTCACATTTCTGAGGGTTCAGAGGCATGGCACCAGAGTCCTTTTGGCTCATTTCCATATTGTGTGTTCTATTTATATGTCCTAACAACCATTTGCTAACCACCTTCATTATATGCTTCCTGGAATTTGGACTTGCTGATTCAACCTGAAGTTTTGATCAGATTGATACTTCCCCCCTTGGTCTGGACTTTTTTTCTGTGCCATAGAGGCACACGGGACCAGGATGATTCTCCTTACATGAGACTGGTGACTGAGTGCATATGTCATCAGCTTTACTGGCAGACAGAATATCATCTGGGCCATGAAAGGCATGAAGACAAATTTAAACACCGATCTAGTCTAGACATAGCTAATAGACTACTATCAGAAATACAGACCTTGGTGGGCAATACACACCATCAGCACTTTCGAGGCAGAGGTAGGTGGATCTCAGTGAGTTTTCAGCTGACATTATCTACATAGTGAGTCCCAGGCCAGTTAGTATTACATAGTAAGACCCTCTCTCTAAATATGATCCATACATGCAATGCATACATACATACTAGAGACCTCATGAAGGGAAGCAAAGTCAAGTGAAGCCAGACATGTGCATCATGCCTTTTAAGCAGATAAAACCTAGGCCCTGAGACAAATGCTTTGCATGGGTGTGAAGCTCACACACAGTTCAGTGTCACACACAGGAGGACTTGGTTACAAACGACACAGTGACTACTGATAATTTGATTCTCTTAGTTCTGTTCCCTGCTTAAAGCAGCTTGGTGGCCTAGAGAAGGTCAGCATTCCTTCTTGTGCAGAATGATCCAGTGACCAGAGCTGAGAGAGGGGGACTTCTCTTCATCTACAATGACACTGATCACAGGCCATCTGTATAAGATTTTGACCACAACTACTGCGGAATAGAGATGGAGGAGTACTGAAAGTATTACCTGGAGAATAGCACGGTCAAGTGGCATTTAGGTCGAGACTGTGTAATCACTGTCTACATGGGAGAAATGGCACGGGATAGCAGGATTTCTGCTACTGGAGCAGGCTTGGTGAAACTCTGAGCCACAGTTGTACTCGTGATTCCCTTTCCTCGAAGGCCTTGTTGAAAGAGAGATCCACACCTCACACCACATACTTGGATTAACTGCAACATACCATGGAAAATGAAAAGTCAGAGAAATGCCTGAGGGGTGCACCGGAGGCAGATACATCATGAAAAGAAGGAGTTTGCCTAGACATGATGTAAAATGCAGACTCCAGCAAATGGATAAACAAATAGTCCATTCTAATTGGTGTTATTTTTATTTTTATGACAGGGTCTCATGTAGCCTAGGCTGGCCCACAAACTCAGTATATCAGAGGGTGACCTTGAACTTCTAATCCTCCTGCTTTTAATAATGAATGCTGGAAATACAGGTCAATGCCACTATAATCTGCTGATGCGGTGTTGGGAATGGAACCCATATAATCTAGCTAAGCTCTCTACCATCTGAACTATCTCCCCAGTCTATCACTGAACCTCTTAGGGGCTTAGAATGCCTACATGGAAGAGAATCATCTTAAACAAAGTCAAAGACAACTGAGAAAGTTTAAAAAATGCTTATACAGCATGAGTTTGAGTATTTACTAGAGATTTTTTTGCTTCAATTTTAAGTTTTACTGCATTGTGTTCAAATAAGCTATAAGGGTTCATTTCAGCCTTATTGGCTTTGTAAAGATTTGTTTTTTTGTCCAGGATGTGGACTATTTGAGAAAAGTTTCCAAGTGCTTCTGAGAAAAATGTGTGTTCTCTCATGTTTGGTGGACTATGCTGCAGTTCATCTGCTGTATCATGTCAATTAATTCTGATGTTTTTCTCTTTTTATCCAGATGACTTTTCCATTGGATAAAGTGGGGTGTTGAAATCACCTACTATTAATAGATCGATATCAATCTGTGTCTTTAATTCTAGTAGTATCATCTTTATAAACTTGGGTGTACCAGAGTTAGTTTGGTGCATATAAGTTTAGGATGGTCTTCTCGATTGATTTGTTCTTTGATTAGAATGAAGTAAACCTCTTTGTCCCTTCTGACTAATTTAAGTTTGAAGTAAATCTTGTTCTGTCATTCTCCATTCTTTGGGCCCCTGGGGGACCTGCAGCATTTGAGGGACTATGTGGAAAGTGGAAATACAGACTCACCAGGCTTTGGGGAGGAACAGCAGTTGTGACATAAGGTTGGGAACCAACAGGTGCACCAAAGATCACTGAAGGAGAGAAATACAAGAAACAAGGGAATGTTGGGGACAATTACATTGTTCTAGTGCAGGGGCTCAAAGAAGGCCTGAATGGAAAAGATAGAGAATTACGAGATTCAATGAAGTTGGTTGCAGGCAAGATGGAACAGTGAGTAGAAACTCTTGCTGAACAAGCCTGCCAACATGAACATAATAACCAAAACCTGTGATAGAAAGAGGGGTCAGCCTCCAGAAAGCTGTTCTCTGACTTCTATATGTGGGCTGCGGCACAGTGGGGCTATCACACAAAGTCATAAACACACACCAATAAATAAAATAACATTTTGGAAAAAAAAAGAAAGCTGAGCCATGACATCTTAGAGAGTAAGGAAAGGGGGAGGGATGGAAGAGAGGCTACTTTCAATCGTGTGGTTGAGGGGTGATGCCCAAGGGAGGGGAAATCTCAAGTATACGCGGTACAGCCAGTGTCTTCTGGACAACAGGAGAGATGGTGATGGAGGGGGAAGAAGGGAAGTGAGAGAGGAGACTGAGCAGGGAGACCGTAGGTCAAGGGTCCGTAGACAGCAGGATCAAAGTCTTACAACAGGTCTGAAAACGGCACTCAGAACATCAGGGCTGATGCCACACTCACACCGCCTGTAGTCTGGGTTCAGCCTTTCTCTCTCCGCATCTCAGGTTCTTGGTGTGGGGCTGACAACTGGAAGGCACGTTTTGGTGGGGAAGCTCATGCCTGTGAAAGCTGAAGGTGAACGAAGGGGATTCCCCCAACTGGTACTTTGCTTCCCTGTGACTGTTCCCCAGGCTGTTTGTAGGACAGAAGTAGGCCGAGGAAGGAGAGCATTACGAAAGTATAAGCTTAACTTTAAGGGGATGTTTTTAAAACATGAGGCCCGGCTATTCTCCTGGGATAAATACAGAGGAGGCCAGCAAGCTGTGGCCTGCAGGAATTCTGCCTTAGTGAATAATTGAGATCGTTTTCCAACTGGCCAAACAGAACTCCTGCCAGGGCATCTTTCTCTCCTGCCATCCTCAGCTCCAGCTCGTCTGGCTCCCTCTTAATTTCTCACAGTCTTATTATTTAGTGTTGAAAACTGCACAATGATACAACAGGATATGTTCAAATAATCTCTTGTTAGAACGATACAAGGGCAATAGCTTCCTGAGCGCTTGCCGTGCAGCTGGCATTGTGCTAAACACCTTATCTTCCTTGGCAGTTTTACTCCTTGGACGTCCCTGTGAAATGGAATCTAGGACAGAAAACTGAGATGCAGAATTAAGACAGCCCTGGGATGAGGGAGGTGGGGCTGGAGTCATCTTCAGCCAGGTCAGCTTCTGGACTGATATCAGCTTCTAGCCCTGGACCAAGGACCTGAGCACTCAAGTCTCTCTGCCCCCCTAGCCAGTAGCTGCTCCCCTGCCTGGCCTGCCTTTCTGGCCTCCCCTTACAAGGTCTTCAGCCTTCTTTCCTGCTTCCTCTGTCACCCCTTCGTGTGCTCTCCTCCCAAGCCAAGTGGTTGACTTTTCAGTCACATCTTTCCCGTGATTCCACGTTGGCTCAGCACTTTTTCTCCTTGAGAGAAGAGGCACTGACTGCCCCTCCTTTGCCCTCTGGACTGCCACTTTTTGGCTTCCACCCACTCGCTCTTCAAGGTCCAGCTAAGATACAAGCACCCACCTGCCATGTCCTGTGGTCCTCCCACCTCAGATCTGTGATGTTGCCTCTGATGGGCTCTGCTGGTGGAGTTGACAGGACACTTCAAAGGCCCTCGTCACAGCATCCCTCTTGACACCTACATCTTGTGTTTACTCTGATGTGCTCTGCTTACAGAGTTGACAGAGCAGTTCAGAGTTTTCCACCATAGCGCCTCTCTTGACACCCAAGGGCATACGCCTTGACACTCCAGAATGGGAGCTTAGCGGAGACTTCAGGTAGCTAGGGTGGTGTTGACGCCTTCTATTTTGCCCTTCCAATAGACAAAGACAAAAAGAAATATGACATCCTCTGCTCGGAAGAATCTATTCATGCTTTGATATAAAAATAACATTAGTTTCCAAAACCATTAGGTGAAACTGGGACTCCAGAGAAGAGAGTGTTCCCATGGCCCCCTCCGCCCCTTGCTAAGTGCCGGGAAAAATCTGCAAGTCCAACTTCAGGAGCAGGCAACCAGAGCATGAAGTCCTCAAGAGCGAAACCTGCTTCTCCGATTCTTGTCTCCCGGGCCATGTGCTGCCTATAGAAAGAACTTTCTTCTGTTTGCTCAAATGAGTTACAAGTTAACACAGCCGCCGAAAGGGCCTGAAAATCATTTTCCCCTCAGTAGATAGGCTTCCCTTGTAATCAAAACTGCTTGATTAATTTGCTCAATGAAGCTGTTTTTGTAGAGTTGGTACAAGGCCACCAACACGGTTCTTGTTCCATGCTCTAATTTGTGGAGTGCCTTGGAGGTCCTGTGTATTTCCATTTCAAAAATTTGCCCTTGTTGGAAACAAAGCCAGACCACATTTTAAGACCTCTGCGTTTGTCCTAGAGCCCTTGCCACCTTCTTACTTGATGCCTTTCTTCGGCTTCTCTGAGTCTCAGAGCCTAAATGCTAATCTGATAATGGTTACTACAAGCCAGTCCCCTCCTAGTCCCCCTTCCCCTTAGGATACCACAAGCCAAAACATTTTATTTCAGTGAGAACCCTCACCTGCTTAGAACATGTCTCTCAGCCAGAACAAAGAGGAGTTACTAGGGGCCATCCTGGCTTCAAAGCTTATGATTCTGCGGCAATGACTTATGCTTACACCTTCATCCTTGCAGCAAAGAAGCCCCCTCCCCCTCCCAAACAAATTCATATGGTTGGCAAAACAGACAGTGTTTGCAGCCTACAGACTCAGCCCAGCTCCTTGGGACCAATACCTAAGAGAGACAAGGTGCTGAACTGACTAGGAGAACAAGTAGAATGATATTGCAGTCACTGCAAAGTCACTTGGTGCTCTGATCCTGGGATGACCTTTCCAAGTTGTTCTTCAATCCTGTCTCACAGGCTTTTAGACCCTCACAGTAAGCATCAGTGGATGTGGGAGAAGTATTTTCTTGAGCACATTGGCTCTTTAGCCTCCCATGTGAATTGTTAACAGCAATGTCTATGGTCTTAGCCCATATGCTCCCATAGCAAGGAGCATACTAGTACTGGGTGTGAGATTTGGACATGCCTGACAGTATCCACTGCAGTGCACCTCAATCCGTGGAGGCCATGAGAATCTTCCTAGCTGGTGAGACATCAGGCATTACTATGAAGCTTGTCCTAATGCTATAGTCGTTTTGTTATAGAAGATGCCCACTTAGCTAAAACTGTGGGTTTAAGGCATTTCTTGAAATGGGGGAAGAGTTAAAAAATGTGGGACAATCTAAGAAATATGTAAGTTTTGTGGGGGAGTGGTAATTCACGAAAGAGGGAGAGTTAAATCCCATTCTCAGTCAGGAACACCAGGCAGAATGCTGGAGGCTGCTAGAAGCAAGAGTCCCTGAGACCCAAGCTTGGTTCCCTGGGGACTGAGCCCAGGGACTGAGCCCCCAAGGGAGTTCCTAGTGGCAAAACATGTTTGAAGAGCAAAGAAGAAACTGAGGGGCTTGCTTAGGGGCAAAAAGCAAGAGAATAAATATAGAAGTATGTGGATGGAGTTTTTTCTCCATCTGATGACCCCACTGGACAGGTTTCTCTCCACCCACCAGGTCCGGGTAGCCCACTTAGATATAACCACTCCGAGGCTTATTATCAGTTACAGTTGTGTAGCCAATGGCTTAGGCTTCCTACTGGCGAACTGTCTTCCCTTTAAATATATAGGAATAAACATAGAAGTAAAATCACCAGACAGAGCTTCATATGGCACTGGGCAAAGCCAGAGCAGCCTGCAGTTCCTGATGAGATTAGGTCCCAACATGTCTAGTTAACAAGAAAGAAATACAAAAAGAAAACTAAAACTCTCCCATGTTACTGGAAAATTCTGGGCAAGCAGAGACTTTCTGCCATCCTCAGTTTTCACTCTACGGAAGGCAGGGCGACGCTCCTGCCATTCATTGTTTAAAAGGAGATGCTGTATTCTGTCTTCCCATGATGTCATTTCAGTGCGCTGGACCAGCCCCACGAGCGATACAGCAAGTAATTGAAAAGTTAGGAAACGCTTTAGAGCCACCTTCTCCACAAGGCACATTACGATCTAGCTTTCTTTAAAAACATTTCTATTAGCAAATCATCCACTGAGCATCCAACAGACGGTCATAGACGCCTAAGGTTGCCAATATTCTGCTTAAGGTGTATGTGCTGTTTGAACTCATTGCTCCTAAGCTTTAAAGGGAAAGAGTGTTTGAGCTCCACACTGGTGCAGGCACTCCCACATATTCCACCCCAACCCCCCTTCTGCACCCCAACACAGTTTTGCCATGCATAATCATCAGTCACCTCTGGCCACACACCCCCAAATTTTCCATCAGCTTAAATGCAAAGAGATCCTCTGGAGGCATAATGAAGCCAGCACAATTCAGTCTCCAATTCCATGACCCACAGACCTTAAGCCCGGAGCTGTACTATAACGCCATCAAATCCCATCCAAGTCTATTTATCCAAATTGAAGCTCTGCTGCGTGCCAGCTCCAGTCAGTTCCACAGCCAGTCTTGCAGGGTTACCTATGCCCCAGTTTAAAGAGAAACTAAGATGAAAGTGACAGATTCGTTCTGCTCAAATCAGTTGGCTGACATGGCAAACCCGAACACATGTCCCACATATGCACCCAGCAGCCCCGCTTCACACGACCTAGGTTACATTTTGTGTAATATAATTGCAGAAGAGAGATTAAACTAAAGAGAGTTTGGCTTAACTAGAGGTATTATTACATAAAATGGAATGGACAGCACCCTCTGATGCTCCCCACGAGAGGGGGGCAAACCCTTTTTCTGTTGCCCTGTTAAGAGGTAATAATACAAATTCTGAGTATGTCCCAGGCTGGCGGATATTAACTCACTTTGCCAGTGTCTACATGCCTGGGAGTCCTGTCAAAGTTCATTTTCTCAGCGGATCGTATCTGTTCGTGCAACCCACCACCTTGCAGTCCTGCTAGCCTCTGTCGGGGTACTTGGAAACACCCACCAACTTTCAGCTTCTACTTGTTATTGAGAAACCTCAGACAATTTTAAGGGCATTTTATTTTTGATGCTGTCATTATTTTTAATAATTTCCATGCATCTTTAAACTATTTTTCATATGATCCTATTGCAATTATTACAATTTTATCAAAGTAAATGAACATCAAGATTTTTTGCAGAATGCTTGAAATAATT